GACATTTCGGAGTGTAGAGCGGCTGCGCGGAATGAATATCAAGTGATCCAAACAAGAATAAATTCTGACATACATGAATAGTTAGAACTACGGCTATCGACTCACGATCATACCCGCATACAAGTCTGAGCGTGCACAAGAATAACGTGATAGTTGGCCTCAATATGTACATTAAGTATTGCGTGTGGTTTTGGAAAAGAATAACCCAACTTCTTTAATTCTGAGCATCCATGGCGGCAGGTCGAATTGCACCACAATGGCTCACTGATTCAGCTATACATACAAGCCGCGTCGTACGTCAGTTGTACTGACAAGACTAAGTCATGATGGACAGCGTCGGAAACCTGGATAGGTACCATTTTGTCGCACTTGACTGTAGAATTGGTCATACACACTGGTTGATACACGATGCTTCATTCCGGCGTGATTTTATAGCGCCGCTAGATGAAGTGAAATGTGACAGGAGGAAATATTCTTGGTTATTCTTGGTGAAAAGTTCAAGATGAAGGGGCGTTCAACCAAGTGTCTGTTTTACTAGAGATGTAGTGCGATACCAAAAACCGGCGTTGCAAATATTCACGGCTTTTCTGTGTAGCATACAGCATAGGTTCAGACCCACATGTTCTAACGGTACCAGCAAAATTGGGACACGTTAAGGACTGAGCATTCCTACATTCGAGTGGTATCCCGAGTCCTATTAAAATGTTTCACATTCCGGTTGGCTGTTTGCGTTTTACACAAGATTGCTTTTGATGAACAGTCTTTTCATTTGATTTCTGACATTATCAACTGGTCCTCAGCGGGGAACATCTTGCACTGCTCCGCCGAATATTCAACTTTTGTTCTAGTCACCAAATTTGTTTGGTCATGAGCATGTCACTGACTTGCGCTATAACGAATTTTCTCGACTGCCCAGGTACTCACGACGAAGAGTGTATTAAACATTTAATTGTATTTTTTTTGGGGGGGGGGTATGGACCAGCCTAAAACCGGTCAGTAATAAATTTTGTTAGAATTAGGCACTGTACTTTTGATGATAATTGGTCGGCCTAAAAACAACAGTGAAAGCATGAATTTAGATTGTACTCGATTTCACGTCATTTGGGTCACGGCACTGAGCAATGGCAGCTTCAGGCCACTTTCTTTTGCTGAGCGAGAATCCGGCGCCGGAAATCAAGCACTTAGCATGAAGCAGCAGACAACGACGCCAGTCACTCCCGTTTTTTCAGCAGAACAATATCAGTGTAAGGATCTCTGAATGGTCGTAGTCTGCATGGTTTACTGATTTGCAATGAGAACAGGGATCTTTCTGGCTTAACACAGAGCATTCAGATACTTGAATAAATATGGTCAATGTGACCGAACCGCAACCCACAAGTATGTTAGAAACTTTCAGAGAGGGTTGGTAAACAATAGGTGGATTTATTGCTGGGCAACGTTTCACTTTTGACATAAAAGCTTCGTCAGACCAAGTGAGTAAGTAAGTAGGCTGATTCGGCTTTAAGGCAGTCAGGGAACGAATCCGTGAGACTTCTCATGACTAGCCGACTCGATCAGCGCTGGGTGTCCAGTCTAATGTTACTGTTTGTACCAGATCGAATGCTGAATTTCCGTAAACTGGTGGGTTTCTAACAGAATGGTCACATAATTTGATTTCAAGGTTTTTCTGGAAACATGGAACTGTAAAATGCCAATTTGGGTCGCGGAAATTCGTGAGTAAGATACATTGGGAATGATCACGTGAACTTGTCAACGATAACGTCAACGCTAAGCCCATGGTAGCGTACGCGATTCAAAAGGAAGTATATGTCATGTCTATCTGTTTGGTCATGGAAAATCAATTATCCTTGACTTACTTGCTTTGAAAGATGAACAAACCAAGCCGACTGATAGATCCACATCTTCCTGTTGCGATCACTTCATCACACATTGTGTATACATTATGAGCATAGAGCAGAAGAGGATGGACGCAACAAGACCCTTTATTTAGTCCACTTATCTGCCACACTTTAGAGGAGTTACTCCTACCGGTTTTCCAGTGGATGACAAATTATGTATACTTTAAAAAATCAAACTAATTTAAAACAGCATGTGCGCTTCATTTGGAAAGTGTCAGTGTAGGGGTGAATTGAATGAATAGGTATGTGAATAGTGTAGAAACACTTCGGAGTTAAGCTCTTTCCCAGTTTCGTCTTTTGCGCGGAAGATTACCATTATTTTATCAACTTAAGTGTAATTAACTCAAAGCCTATTTAGGAGACAGAAATTTTAGACACGAATTGAGGAATGTTTCCTGATACACGTGCAAGCGCTTCTTTAAGACAACCAGGCAGATTGTAATATTTGGTCTGCTCTGGAAGCAGAGGAATATCGCCTGCTTCGAGGCGTGGTTTCTTGTTTTGTGAGGCACGCAGGAGAGAGTAAATGAGTTGACATCATGTTTTACCGTCCATTTTCAGGCAGCTTCATTTTCTGCTAGCCATCTACAATTCGTTGCCGATTTGGCTGGCGACAACAAAAATTCCACGTTTTCCCTTGTGTTAGACTTTCCAGGTTATTGGCTCCTCTTACAGGTTAGATATCAGGCTGTTTGTACCTGATAGTTTATCCTATGGTGTTAGGTCCTAGATCCCCAAAGTCATTCGAAACCAATTTACTGGTTTGTTTTCTGTGACATACCCCACTTGGCGGTGGGTGCAATTTCACATAACTTTGTCTCTCCACACCTTCACAGGAAGAATTGCACAGTGATACAAGTGACATTGCGCTCAAAAACGTTATTAATTGCTCCAAAAAGTGATTGAGTGAGTGACTGAGCAAACACTCCATTAGAAAAACACTTGCGCCGGTCATCGTGATATATGGACTGTCTTTTTTCACGGTGATTCTAAAATATGTTTAGTCGACCAAATCGGTTCACTGCTTCATGGAACGGCCTTATGCTGCTCAGCTTGTGCCTTCAAATTATGCTCTCTGAAACAGACCAATGTTCAATGGGTCACGTCTCATTTCAGTTGGTGACTTTTATTTGAGTACATCACTGACGCTTTTGATTAGCCACATGCGGTCGAATGGTATGTTTCTCAGCCAGTAACCAAGACCTTCTGGGTTGGAATCTTCCCACAGGTTCTTGATGTACTCACTACCAAAGACTCTCGGTAATGATAAATTGGATTATACTGCCACTTGGCCTTCTGGTGTAGAGTGCCGCCACAGGCAAAATGAAATTTCAGCGTGGAAATTCAGCATCTCCCAGTAATGTAAACAGGCAAGAAAGCCATCTACAAAACAATGACATTCGAAGATCTCCATGGATTATTTCATCTCAGTTCAGCGAAGCATTTTGTCGCCCGTACCGGAAGCAAAACGAACAGCGAGCACAAACACTGCAATGCACTGAATTTCAAGCGTCTCCTAGTTTCCGCGTGGCCCAAGCAGAGTCATCCGTCTGATCAGCAAAATGACCTGAACGGAATTTCGCATTCCCCAGGCACAGTAATCTGATCATAAATTCAGTAAACAACAGCCTTAATTAAGGGAGATTTTGAAGTTCTGGACTTCCTAGAAGGTAATGGAGAAAGGAACAGTGACAAAAATAAATGGCCTCAGCATAAAACTACTCACAAGGTTGCTGAAAACTTTTCGACTGCCTACAATCGGTCTTGTTCTTTTTAAGGCTCTCCAGGTAGGCGCACTCGCTAGGTTCTCATGGCCTTAACAAGGTTCCTATCCCACTGGTTCGTGCAGATCCGCCCGGCTAAGTTGCAGAAGAATGCTACCAGTCTGAAATTTTTAACCGTTAATACGATGTGGACTGGAAGCCAATGGCTTTTGATGCGTCAATTAACCTGGGTTTACCCCAGGCCTACCTATAGTTTTTTGTAGCTAAACTGTGATTCACCGCTTCGCATTTCGCGCGAAAGCTCATGATAAACCTGTGAATACAAAAGCGACCATCTTGGTTAGTGAGAGATGTCCGTAGGAAAAATTGCATCGCTCATTATGTATCTGGTCAGCTGTTTTTACCTACTTGTCTCAGCTGCACCAATTGTGGCTCTGAAGACCCTAAACTTTTGAACAACAAGGATAGGAACGGCAGCTCTCCGGTTTCTGGTTCACTCCAGTTGTGCTGCTCCCATTTTCCTCAGTGGTTCAATACAATTCGTCGTGTTTCATCAAATGACTTTGTTTTGGGCTCTCTGTTTTTATATGGCCGTCTTCATTTACTTAGTTTTAAAGAGTGAGACTGTGTTTGTATCGAGCTGAACAGTAGGTTGTATTGACACAAGTACTGGGGCCGTACTCCCTGAGATATGTACGGGGACAGTGGTGTCCGGTAATATATGGAAATGTTGGTAGCTTGGATGGATTCATGGGCTGTCGGTGAGGTGGTAGTTGATTTACCTGTCGAGATTTGCAACTAACGTGCAAACGGTTCATCATCATGCAGAAAAGCATCGTCTTTCGCTGCCTCTCACTCGATTTTGGAGTTTGCAAACAAAACTGCTGTTCTCTGTCCAGGTCAGTGATAAAACGTTTGTAGGGTGGTTGCAAAGCCCGCTGAACCATTGAAGGACCACCACTGAAAGATTCGAGCTACTAACACGCGGTTTTATCCGATTTTCTGAGCGTCTTTTGAAGGAGTATCCCCAACTCCTGACAATGCGCGTACGTGGGTTAATCTAGCTTGTATATTCGTTGTTTTGGATGGATTTCATTGCTTGTCTTAAACCGATTGTGATAGTTCATCTCCAAGCTAGCGAACTGCGTGTCTCATACGTCAAGGCTTGCTAACGTGTGATGAGGGAACACATCAGGATAAACTATGGAAAGAACGTTCCCAAAAAACATTCTTTTCAGTTTCTTGAATGGTGAACGTAAGCCACCGTTAGAAAACGTCTAAATTTTCTAAATCATCATTGAATGGAACAATTAAAAACCGCCTTTGAAGCAAGAGAACCGGATCAACAAATTGTTCCTTTTTCATGTATTTTTTTTAGCAAGGGACAGTTTTGACCGCACCATTGAGTGGATCCGGAAAATTCGGGATGAACGAGATACAAGTAGTCTGATATTCCTGGTTGGAAACAAAGTTGACTTGGAAGAAGAGAGGTAAGTGTGTAGTTTCATGAAAGAACGTTACCCATATGGTTTACGTGCCAAATTTGGATAGCAATACTCTATACCCCTCGATTATATCTATGCGCTAGTGTTTTACGTTCAAAGATTTCCATGTACACCGAGGTTCTTTACTTCCAAGACGCTAGCTGCCATTGCTACCACAATATGTGTAAACGATCGCTTGTGGATGCGCAGAAACTTGGCCTTCATCTATATTTTTCCTCGCAGTTTCTGAAAGATTCTTTGGAAAGCCCAATTCAAATATCGCCAACACATGGTGACCTGTAGAGAAGTATTCCTGGGTTTGAATTTTGGATGGGAGGTCCTGTCAGTTGAATCTAGGCCTGTGTGAACTTGGATAAAAAATTTTGAAAATTTCGAATGTGTTGTGGAGTGGAAAAGCTACGGTTTGATTATTTTCATTCAGTGAGATAATCACAACAAGTTGCAGAGGATTATTACTTTAGTCCACTTTTACATCTAAATGAGGAACGGTGACTATTTCCTCATCCAGAAAACATCCTCTGGAATTCTCATGAAGGGAACTACCCACAAGGTTACTGAAAACTCTCCGACAGCCCACGACCGGTTTCGCCCTTCTTGGGGCTCGTCAGGTAGACGCAGTCTCCGAGTTTCCGCCAACCTTATGATGTACTTGAACCCAAAGTGCACTGTTCTCGTGAAGTACACTCATTTGCAAATCAATTTGGTTTTCACGGGAGACTCAATTGAATCTCTCGTTTATGATTTCCTCCAGCTGAATGTGCTGCACACAGGCCGCCTCATGATTCAGTTGGCACGATATTCGAGATATCGCAGTGTATTTTCATAAAGGAAACTACTCACAAGGTTGTGCACAACCAACAACCCCCCGCTACGCACTACTACGCTCCCCAATAATGCACTAATGATGTCATCTCAATTGGTGATGAAGTGTTTGCAACCAAATTGCCCAGCTCAGCAAACAAGCCAACGACCATCTACGCTACTTGAGCTACCGACATTTTCCTCCAAAGAATGGTCACTGTCATCTAAAACTAATACTCAAGTAGAACAAAAGGTTGACATAAACTTGGGGACTGCGCCCACCTGACGAGCACCAAGAAGGGAGAAAACGGTCATGGGCTGTCGAAGAATTTTCAGCAAACTTATAAGCAGAATAACACGTTAATACTCCAGCCTTAAATATATTTCATATACGTGATTCATAGATACCTTATCAATATAGTAGGTCTCTTTGGCATTCGTCAGTCCTTATTATTTGGGTCAGGAGAAGTAGTGGTCTTCTTGTCTGGCTGAACTCGAAGAAGAACCACTAAACACCATGTGGAACAATGGAGATTATCCAGAGGAACGCGAGACCTATGGAAATATCGTGCATCATCCTATCCTGCTCCCCATCTGTGTTACTTTCACTCGGTATTCCAATTATTAAATGATCCAACAATCGATGTTGTGTGGCTATCCGAAGGTAGTTTATCGGGTAAGACAGTTCAATTCAGTTGTACCTATGACCTATTTTTTCGGAGTGATAGTTAGAAAGTAGCAAATCTGAATTGTTGGCTCAGGAAGTTCCCACCTGATGTGGACTTCGTGAGTGAAGGATAATCAGTGCTATAACCGGTCCGATTCAATTACGTTGCTGACCAGCCATTCGTTGACGAACGGTCTAGTTTTCAGCTACAAGCCAGCGAATCGAATTCAAAACATGTCCGCTCTTGCTGATTCACATTGAGGAGAGAACAGCTGTACAGTACCTATTGCATTTTAGTCATGGATCAACATCCAACACCCCCTCGTTACACTAACTTTCTCAGTAGATTTTAATTTAGGGGATTAAAATGGATATTTACGAAGCTTTAAAGTGTTTTCACCTCGGCTGTGGGTTGCAAAGGAGAAGAACAAACCGTCTCCTCGGGATCGTTGTTTCCTCGATGGATAGAATTACTGCGTCAAATTGTAATAGGAGCCAAGGTGAAAGGGTAGTCAAGAGCGTGAATGTGTGGCTTCTAGGACCAGTCCGTTTCCCCCGGAGACTATTCTGCCCAGGTGGCTTTGTCTTCCGTCACACAGGCCATGATCGTCTTCCATGGTCCATTGACCGTTTGAAAGAGTACGGCAATTCAAATGAATAGTACCATGTAGAAAGGAAAATGGATGTTCATACTTGCCAGAGAACACCGTTTTGGACTAAACAAGGAAGAAATCTCTCTTTGAAGTAGATTTGGGAGAATCATTTTTTTCGAACAAGGGAAGGATCGTCTTTAAAAATCTTTTAGGTGTTCATGTCACGAGGTTTAAATCTGATTGACGAAGCCCCAGAACAACTTGATTGGTGTAAAATAAACAATGTATCTGCAGAAGTCTATGAAGATATTTGGACACCTAACATGAGATCAGGCATGTTTGTACGCCACAGATCTCGTGGACTCGAAAAGCCGCCGCAGTGGACTACAACTGAGTTCAGATAATAGACAAAAAGGTCGGTCAAAACGACCAGTCTAAAGAGGAGGTCGAAAAATCCATCCCGGTGGATGAGGCTAGTTGTAATCACTTTTTCAACTTAGCACGACGACACTGGTGAAACCTTTTCTACTTGATGCAACACATGACCTGACTCTATAGCAAATTTCACGATGATAGCTTGTTGCTCTGTGATGGACTTTCAAGATTTGTTTTATCAATGGGGTTCAGGTACAGTAACAATGGTGCTCAATACAGTGGTTCCAAAGGAAAGGGAAGTTTTGTGTTTAAAGAACTCCTGTCAAGTCCAAAACATGCGACGCTGAAGCGCAGTCACTATTCCCGAATCCACCAGAAATTCCTTCAGAGATGGACAATCTCAAACAGATTCTGTAAGAGGGGGCCAACTTCTTCCAACTGTACAGTCATTTGACTAAATAACTTCAACAATTCTCTCTGCGCGGAAAATAGTCTGTATTTAGGTGCATGTAATGGCCTTGTAGGAATGTTGTCCTAACAAACTTGCTAATGCATTTTTAAGAACGTGCGGTCGGTTGAGGGTTTTTATATCCAACACTGTTCTACTCTTGTACATTTGAAAAAAAATGTACTGTAATTGATTGAATTAGCGATCATGAGTGATGGAATTAATTTCAAGAACTCTGGTAGAAGCAAATGAAGTCAGAAGCTACACTTACCCGCATGTCTCATCACCTGATCAGTGTGATGTCAGATTTCGTTTTAATTGACTCCAGAGGACCAAACTTTAGTTTCAAGTTGGCGGAATCTCCGGTTTAAGCCAAGTTCTGAAAACTGTCATCATCCAAAAATTAGTTTTATGCCATGATGACCTGATAAACAGCACAGTGAATTTATAAGGGGGGTGAACATTCAGTGAGCGATCGTTAGTCGTCGACGCGTGAGGAGGTCTCATCTCATTTCAGGTTCCACCCGTGCTATCACGTGAATCCAAAAACAGTTAATTATTCACCTTATTGATTTGGCTTTACAACTTTTGGTGGCACCACAAAACGTTTAGCTAAATATATTTCAGAACTTAGGAACTGTGAGTAGCTTGGAACTATCTATCGAACGTTTTGGGAGATAATAAGATTGCCTTAAGTTGAATTCCGTTCGGTGCAATCGATCTGTTATCAATCCATCATCGACAACGCAGAGATATGTCTCGTGGCCCTAGTCTGATTGGAGAAACCACAAATCGAGCTATTTCTCTCTGTTCTTGGTGACTTAGTGTTTACGTGATCTTCTAAAGTAATCTGCTAAAAATGGAAAGGAAGTTTTATAGGCGGGAGGCCCTCATCAACGAGGAATCATGTGACGTGAACCACGTGATAGGGGAACGAGTGATGCGGTATCATGTATAGGCGCAATTTGATCACAGCTGATGAATAACAGTCTAAGACTACTAAACAAAAGGTCTCAGGTTTGAATCCCTCGATAGATTTACGACGTGCGCGGTAGGGATGCTCACAAACCAACTGCTAAGCGGTTGATCACTGTACTTGAAATTCACTTGTGACTCGTATCAGTGAAGGCATTCTGGTTATGGTCAGAAGCTGAAACTGGATATTTTCCCTAAAACTGATGGTGGCGAGCGCTAAACGTTTTTTCGGATGATATCCCATAGCAAACACTTGTTCTCTCCCACAGGGTTATCACCACAGAAGAGGGTATCGAATTGGCCAAAAAGGAGGGTATCTTTTTCCTGGAAACCAGTGCAAAATCCAATATTGGTGTACAGAGGGTGAGTTGTACAAAGACGGAAACAAACGGTACCCATTTACTCCCTTTGAAATGGTAATCAGATCCTCTATGACCATAACTAAGACCAGAATAATGTAGAAACAACAAAAGCAACAGGTATTTTGAAGGATGTAGTTTCTCCAGCCTTTATAAAGAAACCATAAGTTTTTTTGTGGAGGTATGTCGACAAGCGAATGTCTCGCAGCGACGTGTTTTTTAAAAGTAGAACTTACGAAATTGCTGACATTTCATTTGACGAGACGAAAGTTAAACTCAACGACGTTGCCACTTTTCGGCATGTAAAGAAAAACAAACGCTCGCAAACAAAAATTAAAAAAAAAACTGAAGAGATCCACACTTCCAAACAAACGGCCGAGGACTAGTGGAGGTGAGAGCTCACGGTGTGTACATTAACCGCTCCGACGGGCTTCCAGAGGTGTACAATTAAAGAAATTTACGGCCAATTGTACCCCAAGAAAACTGTTGCCCAACTGTTAGCCACACAAATAGAAGAGAGACAACGCAGCACATGTCACACTCGGTCCAATCAAGCTTCGAGTACAGTGACCTATAAACAGCCAATCACCTTACGGGTTGGCGGTTCTCTTTACAAACTGTGCGCAAGTATGAAAAAGCAGTTACGCACGAAGCATGTGTTAATGATGTTCCCCTGAGTGGGCGCGAAACGCCTGAAAATCAGTCGTCACTCTCGATCAACAGATAAACAGCCACCAATAGAGCGACCATTCAGCTTTTCCGTTTCCATTTACTCATCATTACTTGGATTGCTATGTAGTCGTCACTTGCAATCATCTCTTTTTTGTTGGGGCATTCAAGAACAATGGTCAGAATCTATCACCAGAATTTTACGCTTTTTCTGACCCAAACATGTTTGGGTCATTGTTGGAAAAAATTGGAGTTCATCATTTCTGAATTGTAATTGATTGTTTTTCGAATGATCCGGAACCTCATGGTTTACTTTAACATCAATAGCTGAGCCCCTTGAAATACAACTAGTAATTTGGTTGGTTGTGCGTTAATTTCAACCGAAAATAGATTTCTTCTTGCAAAACTTGAATTTACACATGTGATCTTCTGACATAGGCGTGTTTTTCGTCTGTTTTGTTCACCCCAAAGTACAGCTAATTCCAAAGGTTTCCATCATACCTCCGAAAAAGTCCAACACGGGACGTTAACCCCACCTAGTTTAATGATTTCTACGTCGGGTGCATGCAATTTACAGCAGTTTGTTGGTTGTTGTAGCCTTAATACAGTTTCCAACTTTCCAGAGAAGTTGTGCACTGATGAGAAATTAAGTGGAGATAACTTATGTGCTCCTCTGTGAGCCTACGTTCCTTCAGTGCACATGTCACGGAGAAAACGCTGACAGTATTCATCATACATATTCACCAGAACGTTTGTATCAGGTCGAAAGGATTCCTTCTTTGGAACAGTAAGAAACAGATGGCATAATTTTGTGTGAAATACCATACAGCAATAATGCAAATTCTATTTGCATTACGTGAGTGACATGCAACTTTCCACATACGAAGCAGTACGCAGCTTCTCTAACCCATTATCTCGGGTGGGTTTCGTGTTCTATAAACGTAGTCCTACCGCTCCATTGCGTGTGTTATTGATTTAACAGGGAGGAAACTTGTGAATCACAGCCAACACGCAAAACAAACGTACAAGGTTGAATAGATATATATCAGACACGCCACGGAAGCAACCGGGGGTGCGTGCTTCTCCGGAAGTAGGGATTCATAGCAATTTATGTGGGTTGAAGAGAGAAAGAAGCCCCAGTGAGCCCCACCGACGCTTGTTTATGAACTGATCGGAATAGCAAGCACTGTGCACTACAGTGGTCTTCCTTTTAGAGGACATCGTTCCCGAGTGTAACATAATCCATGTGACCCATTCGGTGCTAATGGCACGGTGCGTGAGGATAGTGAGAGTGTACGGAGGTCGCTGTGTCTGAATATTCATTGGCCATGTGTGAATGGCCACGTGTTAGGGCCTGTACGCACAAGTCTACGGCCAAATACTTTGGTAGAACTATCAATGGGTGATGGCCATCCCGGCGTGCCCGCCAAGTATGTAGTACATACACTATGGAAGCATCAGAGGTAGGGATTCAGGACAATTTCTGTAGATAGGAAACTGAAATAATCCTCATGAACCGAAGCCCAGGAAGCAGGGTTGTAGATCGTCATTACTTATAAATCAATTGAAATGACAAGCGCGTTTCACGTCGTCCCAGTGTAGTTAGGCTAGAGTGTACGGTCTCCCGCGAATGCAGTCAGTTTCAGCCTGCAAAGTTCTTGCTACTGTGGCTCAAATATGTCTGCTTCGTTGTGCCACAAAAGTACTGGGTCAATCCAGAGCCCACTGCGGAGTCGATATTGGTCGAAATTCTGTGGCATGCTACAAGATAGCGTTAGCTATCAGAAAATTGCATTTCACTATCGAGAACTATGTATAAGGTGACTTGCATTCCAGCCAGAATGGTATAACGACAGTCTACGGAGCAAAGCAGCCGCAGAATAACATCGATAATCATCTTCTCGAAACTGAAAGTTATAATGAAACTAATATTGAATGCAGCAAACGAGAAAAGCCCATTGTTATCTGGTGCAATTCTAGAGTATTTCGATTATTATCCATTCTATATGAACTCACACCGTACATATGAGCTACTTTTTCGCAGTTTTCATTCTGTTAACTAGGGCTTCAGAAAACAAAATATCACCTTGTTGACCCTCATGGCTAATGACCAGTAGATAAACAAGGCCCGGTCGAATCAGTAGAAGCGACTAGTTGTTTGTTTTCAACGGAGATTTCGTCCCGTAAGTGAAGGCGTTCTATGCTGAAAAACCGAGAGGCACAGCTGTATGATCCTTGCTGGGAATGATCAGCAATGTGTATCTCATGAATCTCCCGGGAGATTCGAAAACGCAACCCCCAAGCTAGTAAGTAGGTTTAGAGTAAACAAGTGCCTGTTCAGCAGTGTGATGAACTCGCACACTTAGACTGGATATAATGCTAGTCATCCTTTGCTCACGGAACCAACATCACGTGATCACGTATTGACCAGCTCCTCGGACTGCAACTTCTCAGACGAAGCGTTGACTATCTTGTGAATTAATTCTTCCTTCTGGGCTACTTATATTTTTGTTGGTAGTGTGGTGTTATTCCGCAATCATTCCTCATTCACAACCCTAGGTGTAGTTGGAGTCGAAGCTAAACATAACAGTAAACTTTTCTCTATCCATCATATCCAGCAATTTTTCAAGCCCGCTGGGCTAAATCAGCTGATTTAGAGTGCTCATTCATCTCCTACTTGCAGTGTTGTTTGGTCATGAACAGCCAGATAACTACACCGGAAACGACTGTGGCCCAATAAGAAAGAGGCGATCAGTAGACACCTGGCAATTATTGATGTCTGCAAAAATCTGTGACTCCTACCGTCCAGACTATTACTATATGTTCAGCGCAACGGCTTTGGGGGTGACTGCCATCACATCTAAGTAGAATATCGACCAGTGATTTGTTGTACAATTCTTATTTTATTCACACTTGGTTGTGACATCCGGTCTCCAGAAGCGAACAACTGTCTTTCTTGTTCATCAACAATGTCACTGTTATTCGCTGACAATATCAAGCCCGTTTCCAGTTGACAGTTTGGAAATTATCTTCACTGGGACTTATTTAGCTACAACTATTTTGGTTACTGAAGTTGGCGTGGCCGCATAGCCGAAAAACTTTTCAACTTTCTGAGTGCACACATCCACGTGAACGGCATACAAGTAGTGATTTCTTTGAAAAGTTTGGACTTTGTTGAACCTGTGTTTACAGTATTTAACTTTGAGCAGTACCAATTTGTTTGCGACATTAATTTGGCTACTAGATGATGGAATCCTGTCTTCTTCTTTGTAATGTATAACAACCAATTTAGAACATGTTCACCCGTTCAGACCTCATGATTAAACTTCGTCTTCAGCGCGTTTCAGAAATGGAGCGACAAGACAATGATGCTTGATGCACAGTCACTTTCTACTAGCGTCTGCTTGTTGGAACTGAGTTTTTAGATCACCATCTGGAATCTCATCCATATGTCATCACTCTGCTCAACCCTGTTTTTAAAAAACTTATTTTACTGTATGCTACGGATGTCAATTTTTATTTGGGCGAATACTTTACTACCAGCTCCGACCGATGTTGTTCTTAGTAAATTTCGGAACTCGACAGAATCTGACGTGATAAGCCCATCACTCACCATGAGCTTCCACATACGGCCTAAATAGCTGATGTCTGTTGTTAATACTTCTCACGGGAACATTTCACTTTGAAAAAGCAGACAATGTTCCCTCTCTGTCCTGATGTGTTGCTCTCCAGAACTATCGATGGTATCAGGCGTTGGAAATCCGCATAGAAATCCGAACTTTACGAGTTTTTGTCCTGCGCAGGAGAAATTTGAATCCATCCATCATTTCAGTATTTCAGAAAGCTGGAAGACAGATTTGTAGCTGGGATACACTAGCGAAGGAAATGAAGCCGCTCGAAGGTGTATTGCGACGAGATAGCTACCTTGACTGTCTTTTCAGAAAACACCTCACTCTGAGCGAAAACTTCAACTGCCGTGCCGAAAAAGTACCCATATTTTGACCCAATACTGTAGCCCGTACTTTTGGTCTAATTAACAAAAGACTGCCGTGGAGTTGTAATGCAATACAGCTACATGCATGCATTACACCAGTCCAAATACCAGCGTTAATTTCATTGGGGAGTTGTGGTACCTACATGGTCACCTGGAGTTGGGGTGGTGCGTACATCGGTAGAAACTGATAGCAAACCTAAAACACGAGCAACGGCCACATGCCCAGGAAAATTCTGTGTCGTGTCAGCTGACTATGATTCAACTCTGATCAAATCCAGAGACCAAACAACTGCGTTCGCGAAGATCTGAATTCAGCCCGTCGTTCAAGGTCTCAACACAAA